TTTTTTTTAATTTAGTTAAAGATATATTATTTATTTGGTAATTAAAGAATTTATAAATAATTATGTTTAATTAACTTTATTAAAAAAATTAAACTTAATTAATAAAATAAAAAAACTTTTGTATTAACTAAACTACCACTCTTTAAGTGTAAAGTTATAATGCTTATATATTTGTTTATTTCATCTTGAGAAATGCCTTTTATATTTGTTTATTTCATCTTAAGAACTGCTATTTAGTGAGAATGGTAAATCTTGAAACAGAAAAAATATTGTGCAAATTACATAGCTTTAAACTATTAATAAAGGTAAGCTCTGTGAATGGGACCCGCCTATAAAACCGCTACTCATGTTGAAAATTAGCTATAATATTACCATTATCAACCAAACGATCTATGGGCTCTCAATGTCAACAGCACACCATTTACTTGAATGCATAAAAATAAAAATTCTATCTAGAACTTTGACAAAATAGTTGAAAGTTTTCTCAAACTTATCCCTAGCCACCACGGACTTCAGTTTCAGAACCCGCGTCTTTAAGGCTCTTTAAGATGGTGCCATATGCACCAGGCAAATGACACGCTTACAATTTTATCAGTCCTTCAAGCTTTTATTTATATTTAGGGGAATAGTGCTGCAGAAATTGAGGCAATGGAGATGAAGAAGGTAGCCATAGTTGGGGCTGGTATGAGTGGCCTAATTGCCTGTAAGTACACCCTCTCCAAGGGCTTCCACCCCATTGTTTTTGAGGCTCAAAGCAGCATTGGAGGGGTGTGGTCCAAAACAATTGAGACTACAAAGCTCCAAACTCCCAAAGGGTTATATCAGTTCTCTGATTTTCCCTGGCCATCTTCAGTCACAGATGATTTCCCTATACACCATCAAGTATTTGATTATATTCAAGCTTATGCGCTGCATTTCGGTCTGCTTGACCACATCAAATTCAACCAAAAAGTTGTTGGTATTGAGTATGAAGGTGCATCTGAGGCAGAGATGCAGTCATGGAGCTTATGGGGTGGCACCAGCGAGCCCTTCAGCCCTACAAGGAAATGGAAGGTCAATGTCCAGGACACGAGAACCCTCTCAACTGTGGTATGTCATATGTGTATTATAAGATAAAATGCATTAATGATATCCTAGGAATATTTATACATGATATGTGCAGATTTATGAGGTGGATTTTGTAATCCTTTGTTTGGGGAGGTTCAGTGGAGTGCCAAACATCCCAGAATTCCCTCCAAACAAAGGGCCAGAAGCATTTCATGGGGAAGTAATTCATTCAATGGAGTATGCTGCAATGGAATATGAAAGTGCTGCCAAATTCGTCAAAGGAAAGAGAGTCACTGTTGTTGGGCTCCAGAAATCTGCCCTAGACATTGCGATGGAGTGTGCAGCAGCAAATGGTAAACTTTCCCTCTTGAGATTAGTCTCTTCTAACCTTGTTCCATTTGAGATATGGTTTTCATGGATCAATATTGTTTTCCATCAGGGGTGAAAAATCCCTGTACAGTTCTATACAGGACGGAACACTGGACCGTGCCTGATTACCTTCCATGGGGTGTCTCACTAGCATATTTATACCTTAGTCGCTTCTCTGAGCTCTTGGTTCATAAGCCTGGTGAAGGGTTTCTCCTCAGTCTGTTGGCAACAATGCTCTCCCCTGTGGTAAATTTTCTATCTTCTTTGCTCTGGATACTCTCACTTTTCTTAGTATCATGAAGAATTGGATTACTTGCAATCTTGTGACAGAGATGGGGATTTTCAAAATTTGTGGAAAGTGATATCAAGAGGAGGCTTCCTCTGGCAAAATTTGGAATGGTACCAAAACAAAGCTTTCTTGAACAAATAAATTCATGCCTTGTCTCAACAATCCCAGAAAAATTCTATGATAAGGTTGAAGAGGGAAGCATTAGATTGAAGAAAGCTCCAAGCTTCAGCTTCTGTAGTAATGGGGTTCTGATAGATGGAAATGAGGATTCTCCACTAGAAACAGATTTGGTGATTCTAGCAACAGGATTCAGGGGAGATAAAAAGCTCAAAGACATTTTTGTATCCCAAACCTTTCAAGATTGCATTTATGGGACTTCAAAGGCAGCAGTTCCACTTTACAGGTTCAACATCCAACCTTTCTTGTTCTCCGGAGAAATATAAACGATCTATAATATTTTGTCTCTGTTGTTTGTTAGGGAATGCATTCATCCTCGAATACCACAATTGGCAGTGATTGGATTCTCAGAAAGTGTATCAAACTTGTACACCTCAGAGATAAGATGCCGGTGGCTAGCAGAGCTTCTAGATGCAAAATTCAAGCTACCAAGCATTAAGGAGATGGAAAAGGATGCAGAAAAATGGGATGAATACTGGAAACGGTACTCTGGTGGATACTACCGGAGATCATGCATAGCTGCCATTCACATATGGTATAACGATCAACTCTGCACGGACATGGGATGGAACCCTGCGAGGAAGAAGGGATTGTTCGCTGAACTCTTTGAACCTTACGGCCCCTTGGATTACGCCTCTTCCTCTTAAAATGGAGAACCTAGTACTTATATAATCAGCAGAGATACATATTTTTTTTCCATTGCATCATAAGATTAATTGCTTGATATCACAAATATTTAAACTTTTAACTTTGATCATGAATCAAAGTTTTTAAATTAATAAATATTAATTCAGTGGAACAAGAGTTTGGCCAAAATAATATTTGTTGACAAATACCATAGCGAAGTTTGTAATGCAAATTCTAGCAATAATAACATTATATTGATATAAACAAATGTCGTCTGATTTTTGGTGTACACAAATTATATGTTGAAAAAAAAAATTATGAACAAATGTAGTCTAATGAATTACAAATCAATTTTGGGATAACCCCTCATCTGCCGGTCACAAATCTAGAAAGAACATTTTCTTCTGCTAAAATATATCCTTCCATGAACGCAAATCACGATCTGCGTTCTCCAGTCATTTCTGATCATCCCAATCTCAACTTGTCAGCTGAAAACATGAAAATCTTATATTGGAAGTTAAAAGAAAAAAAGAATTGGATGGGGTACTTGAATCTGCTGTATCTTTCAAAAGCTATAAATAAGTTAGGATAAAGAATGCCACCAAATCTCAGCAAGGATTCTTCTAAAAGCAGAATCAATTTGGTGAATCTGCATATCAAATTTAAAAGCAATCTTCGTCTTAAGAAGATTTCTGAGACCATTTAAGCACAGCACAGTGGAAACAATAAAATGAAGAAAATACATGCTAAGAACATAATGCACCCACCTATGCTATCTGAATATCCCTGTGCAGAAACCACCATGGCCCAGTTTTTGATATTATTCTGAGACAAAAATGATCTAATCGTCAGGAAAAGAAAAGATAAAATTAAACAAGGGGAATTAATTAAACATATTGACTATAAAACATAGAAGAATTAACTCTAACATGTATTTTTTTTTTTTTTGGTTTTCCTCCCGGTATCCGAGGCTTTGCCCCGACTAATCCGGACCCGACTCGTGTCGCGCACCTGGAAATGGTGGGTGAGTCTCCCAGCGGGAGCTGCTGCGTACACAAAGTCTCGAACTCGAGACCTTGCTTAAGCTGGAACAAGCCGCTTACCACTTGATCCAACCCCTCGTTGGTAACTCTAACATGTATTTGTTCATATAGTATTCGTGCTTATATATGCTAATTAATATATACATGGAATATATGGTAAGCTACACATGCATGTCTGTCTATTATCATAATTCTTATAAACTTATTATAGAAAAAATCGAGATGGACTAGATTTTAAAAGAATGGTAGCTTTTGAATTCACATTTTACCTGAAAAATCCAGCTGCCATACGTAACCCCATAAACAGAGTCAAGCCCGACCAAACCCCTCCAAGACCCAGGGTTCTAGGGACAAAAAGCAAAAATGCAGAAGATACAGCTCCAACCAACATCTGTGAATCATGTAAGATTGGTTAGAACTTGGGGTAATTGTTAAACCAAGACAAGGATATGAAAGGAAAGTTTTAATTTGAAAGGGTGAAGCTTACCATAGAAGAAGCTGCATATGGAAAGTCCGAAATGCCATAATGGAGACCATCAAAAATAAAAGCCAACGCATTTAATGGTTGACTCGCACAGACAAACTGTTTACGATTTTAGAACAAACAATATTAAACATCTAATTCTTCCAGAATATATGAAACTAAGAAGAAAAATTACTGAATTACTTTGTATACTTACTAATAGCCCACTTCTAACAATTCCTAAAACTTCAGAATTATTTGTGAATAAGGTGGCTAAGGGACCAAAAGATATGCCCAAAATTGCAGCCAATGAAACACCTGTGATTAACCCTAGCTAGAAAACAAGCAAATCAGGGTTACAAACAACATTAGAAGCTAGGAGTCAGCAAAGACAAATCAAAATCTGTCCTGCCAAAAAGAGAAACCACAATAGAGAGGCATCTGTGAAAAGCTTACATTTAATACAAATTTTGTAGTTTCCTTCACAGTCCTGTAGTCACCTTCTGATAGAGAACTTGCAATCAAGGCCTATAAAAAGAAATGAGTAGAAACTAAGCTCCAACTTATAAATGTGATCTCATTAAATAACAATGAGCCTGAGTAGACTGAATAAAGCAGAGGTACCTATCACAAGAATAAATTTAGAGATAGAACTCTAGTCTAGAAAATTTCTTACCTGGCCAGACGTAGCAACTGCATCTGTAAGAAGAGAGACAGCCAACCAAACTTGCATGCATATTTGATGTGCAGCCATAGCTACAGAACCTTGACGAGCAGCCATTGAAGTTGCAAGAGTCATTGTAATAAGAACAGCTAATGTTCGTCCAAGAAGAAAACCACCTGTAGAAAACCTTATTTGTTAGAATAGAAATATGTTATGAAGCTAAAATGCATCAAATGGATGCATCCAGAGCTAAGGTGTTTAATATGTAAGGCTCCAGTGAGTTAGAAAAGTATTACTCATTTCCCAGAGATTTGGGAGAGAAAATTGGGAGAGAAAATTACCTGATTTTATATAGGTACCAAATTGTAATGACCCCAACTTTGGAGGAAGTAATATAACTCTCTTGTTTAAATGTCTGACCATCAGAATTGCAACAATGTACCTGCAACATGAATTTAGCATATTAGTTTTTGCTGAATCATGGTAACTATGAAAGGAAGAGAACCAAGCATAAAGCAGACATACTGAGACAGCACAGTGGAGAGAGCCGCTCCAATTACACCCATTCCAAATCCATACATAAGTAAGGGGAAGAAAAGTACAGCTAATGAATTACCAATACCTGCATTTGAAACAAAGACATCAATCAGTGCTAATAAAAACAGGCCTTTGCAAATAAGCAACAATTTAGAGAAAAGAATATGGACCAATCATAGTCACAATCCACCAAGATAAACAAAATACTTTACCTAAACAGAAAACAGGAGTCTTCGTATCTTTAAACCCACGAAAAATGCCTTGAAGAGCCAAAGAGACTACAACAGCTGGAGCACCGAGAGCTCGTAGTGAAAGAAATCGTTGTGCTGGGGCATACATTTCTGATGTCTATTAGAAATGAAAAGAAGAAAACCCCTCCACATAAGTAACTGGTCAGGCACTAAAATAGAGAACTGTGATTTCTGAGAAGATTATAAATAAATTATTACATAGCATCCTTCCAATTATAAACCACTATTTGGTTACTCAGCCAAATTTACCAAACCAAGAAAACCATGGAAAAAGGGAAAAAAAAAGTGTGAATAAGTATATATTTCATAAACAAGTAATTCACATGCAGCAATCAATTTATTATTACATGAAACTTACTGAGGGTACACCCATCAAGTTAAGAAAAGGTCCAGACCCCAATGATAATGCCAAAGCCTCAAATATGCCAATGAAAACAGCTAGAAGTAAAGCCGTAGACACAGAGGATAGTTGCTTTCTTTCAGTCTCCACAGGGTTACCATTAGAACTTTGCCCTTAAATAGAACAATAAAAAAGTACAGATATCAAATCATCTATTTTCTGTCTGATATAGTATATCCAGAAAAGGAAAAAAAAAAAAAAAGTGATTGCTAAACACCACCATGGCACTAACTGAGTATAAATTCACCTGATGACAAATTTTGAGTTGCGTTCTTGGAAATATCTTCAGCAACAAAGGAAGTTGCAACACTGAGGAGAGGAATGTTAAATAGTTTTGATATAATATTAAAAATTGATATTGAAACACCTGCTGAAGCCAATGCCACAGGACCTGTAAACAAAGGGATCTGTCAAATGAAGATACTTGATAGAGCCCCAAAAATTGAACTTTACGTTATAACAGATTGAGTAGATCAATTACAACCGTGAAATGTATACGATATAAAGAAAGAATATATATAAGTAGAAATAAGGTAAAAGGAAAGAAATACTCCTTCCAAATCAAGAAGCTACTTATAATTAAACGGGAATCTAAACCCTAACCAAAACTAACTTTAAGTCTTCTGCCAAGAAAATGCAGAAGATGCTTGCATAAAATTGATAGTACAATACTATTTCACCAATAACAGAAGAACACAGAAAATTTAATATCAAAGATAAGGCCATACTCAGTCTTCCAATATATGCAGTTTCCATCAGCTGTGATAAGGGGTCAATAGCTTGTCCAGCAATTGCAGGCAATGCAAGCTTCACAAGTTCCCTTTTGACATCAACTGGTTCACTAATAGGTTTCTCCGAGATCTCACTGCAAATGAAAAATAAGAAAATCTGTATTAGCACAATAGAATTAGAAAAATAGAGTTAAAAAGGCCACTCATTAAGATAAATTAACTTCCATTTTATAAGATAAAACTCACCATAAAAAACCTTTTGTTCATGGAAATTTATAATAACATTCATAAAGATCTCAATAACTACAAGTGTGAGAGAAAGTAGTTACAGACTCAAAACTAACATTTCTTCAACATACGAACGTGGGATTGAGAAAAAAATGGGTCTCCTGACAATTAAAATTCATTAAGGCTAAAATACCTTAATAATGAATCTACAGATAAGGAAGATTCATTAAGAATATTTGAACAATTGCACAGAAAGCCATTAAAATGGCAAGACATCCTGATTTTCACTTTTCTCATATACCAAATTACCCAGAAATGCATGTAATATCACCAAGCAGACAACAAGTTATGATTCTCACCGGAGATCCTCACTAAAAGCATTGAGAGTGGCACCATCTTCTTCCTTCAATGCAACTCTCTCCACCACATTAGTGGTTTCCACACCATAATCTGGACTTACCTGATTGCGAACTGACAGTGAAGGGGAATTTCTACATCTCAGCAGGGGAGATAACAAATTTCTATGTTGCACACATAGGGGAGAGCTCTGAATGCCATCTAAACAACCAAATTCCTCAAAGTTACAAACTTTAGTTTGGCGCAAGGAAGAGGGTGAACTTTCCTTCCATTCCCCCTTTCTGCTTTTGAGTCCAATAGGCACCTTAATACCAATGAGCCGTGTAGTCATCATTTTAAACAATTATTTCAACAGCCCCTACAAATAACATAACATCCAGAAATTAACAAACCCTAGAATCGTATTATCAACTTGAATTCTTAATTTTCTTTTTCACAATAATTCAACTTTAATAGAGCATGATGAAACAAACAATCAAATTTTTGATACATAATATAACATACTGCTGATTAATCCAAAGTTAAAATTTTTCTTCTTATTCTTCACCTTCAAAATGCGAGAAACCGAGAATAAAAGGAAAATAAACACAGAACAGAATAAAAACACTTCAATTACGAATTATATCATGCAACAACTGAATTTCATGTCGCCGTTCACAAATATAAGCGAGAAAATACTACAAAGAGTTAATTTAGTAAATCTGTTTGGTTGCAGAGAAAATGAGAAACCGAGAAGGAATCTGATCGTATAAAAACGAGGACCACATTGAAAGGAGGAGGAAAAGGATATGAAACTACGCCATTAATGGCGTTAAAGAAAGGAATATACCTTCTTGTTATTGTGGTTTGGAGGTTTCGTTAGTTCTAGGGTTTAAGTTAGGAGAAGAGGAGGAGGAGAGGTAAGGAATCGTCCTGAGGTTTATCGCCTAGCCATTGCCGCTATGTAGAGAGAGGAGCGAAGAAGAAAGGTTATATCCCCGATTCAGTCCCTCAACTTTCATTTTTGAACTAAAACTACCCTCGAACTTCAAAAAGTACTAAAAAAATCCTTAAACTTCAATTTTTAGGACCAATTTCGTCCTTCCGTCAGTTAAGTGCTGACATGGCAACATTTCCCGTTAACAAATTCAATTTTTATTAATATTAAACATTACCTGGAAATAAAATGAGTGATATGGCATTTTTAATTATAAAAATATTGTGATTTGTCATCAAAAATATAATTTAATAAAATTTTTTTTTTTTTCTTTCCTTTCCTTTCTTTTTCTCCTTCTCTTTCCTTTTCTCCTTCCCCTCCCCTACTGGGTTCGAAGGAACCCAGCACG